CTTCAGAATAAATTATTGACCGGCTTCAGGTTGAATCAACAATTCTGTTCTCAGCTGAGACTTAAAAATTGCGATGAACGGCTCTCCATAAATGGCAATAGTTTACAGTTCCCGTCATAATAATATAGCTATAAAAATTATTCTGATACTATATACGAAATTTCATCAAACAACTATAGTACAGTAAAAAGTTTATTTTCGAAATAGAAAGAAAAGTAAGGACAATAAAGTCTTTAAAAAATAATGGAAAGTCCAACACAAATTAAGAACAATGAAACAAAATTAACACAAACAACATTTAGACAAAACGAAGAGATCGAAGTGATCCATAACACTGCTCATTTAAATCTAACATTAGAAACCACGAAAAAAAATGGAATTGAAAATTTTTCAGTATAAAAACCATGCTCTTCTTATTGAACTGTTGCAGGACATAGCCGACAAGTGAGACTGATAATGGAATACACCGCATTACGGATCATTTGTGGACAATTAGGACTCGACACAGCTTGCTCAAGAGAAACACGAAGCTGATAGAAGACCAGTCTGTAAAATTATAATCAGTCTGCAAACAGCAATCTCCATGTCACTGAATTCCGAATTTCATAAAACCACAAGAAAAAACTGCAATACAGTGAGAGGAAGGAAAAAACACTACGAAATATTGAGTTCTTTTATATTATCATCAACAGAAGTGTCTCCAGCTGCTTGAAATAACTTAGTACGATGTATATATTGCATAGATGAGTTAAAATGGGAGCAGATCACTTGCAGTACGACAATCAGCAAATGAATTCAATAGAAAAACTAGATCACTAGCAGCATCTTATGATTTATGGTTGCGTGCAATATTCGCAACATATTATGTACCGCTATGCTTAAAACCTAACAATGACACACTTTTCTATAAACCATGTAAAAGACAAACTTTGTCGAATGGTTCCTACGAGACACATAACGCAGCGTTATAAATCGGTAATATATGAAGGGCAGGAAGAACGAAGCCTTTCCTCTGAAAACATCAGCTGCGTTAAATTAAGAACATGTCACTTATGAGTTCTTAATAACAAAGTTGTGATATACATCTAGGACTTATGATCACCCTTTGATTAATGTAATCACGTTTAAATTTGAAAAATTAGGTGAAAACTGACCGTTCCATCGCCAGTATGCTAATGATCTTCGATTACATTTCAACGCAACACAACCTTTACTCGGAATTTATAAATCGCTTAACAATACAATGATTGCTATGAACTAATTTCCAGACTAACCTAGTCAAATGACTGCAGTATGCGCAAATTAAACTAAAGAAAAGAATTCAAGCATTCTATGCAAATGAATTCATAATTTAAACAATAACTTACACGAATATCATGGCAATAAGCATTGGCATTAAGAAAATTTCAGAACATGCAATAATTCCCAAAAGATTCTGCGTATGTTGCCGTGTTAACTCAGATACTCTGTCAGCTACATTCGTTGCTTTCCCTACTGCGTAACATATTTGAGTGGCAAAATTGATGGCGTGCAATAATCCATACAAAAAAATTGGCATAAGTGCCACTGAAAAGTGTGGACCGTAAATCATAGAACTTACAAAAAACATTTTATGCTTTTTGATCTATTGTTTGTGAATTCTAAATATTGAGGTTTTCTTGTATTTCAGCATAGCACTTTTGCCACGTGCCCTAACTGAAGTACAGTTGAGAATTCGAATTACATTTATATTATAGCGATCAATATTGTTGACCGAATTAGGTGATCTTTTTGAAATATTTCTCCAGAATATGGTAATAAGGAATAAATGTTATAGGCCGCTAATCCGCTAAACTTATAAAAATGTGCACTGATCAACATACTAGTAACTGGAGTTGAAGTGATGAATAAGACGGAGTAAATAAGATAGTGACATGAATCTTCCATGAGTACTATAGACAAAAACTCCCGAGTAAAACGCAGTCCTCCAACACGTTGATGTACGCGAAGGGCATTCGTCGCAGCAGCTAAAAAAACCTTAAATTATATGCTGATATGAAAAATAATTTCCACGATATTAAAATATACAGACTTATTTCATGCTTTTATTCCAAGCATATATCTCCATTCTGTATCTTCTTCATTTATATGTGTATCTCTAACAGTATTTCACTCATAGAAATCTGAAATAAGACAATCACAAACAAAAAAAAGTTGGGTCATGTCAAGTGATTCAAAACCCATGAAGAAAAGAATGCAAAACAGATACCCGCTGCAAAGGCTTTCGAATATGCTGAGTACTGAGAACTTCGGGCACCAAGTGGTAAAATAAAATATAACGTACACAGGACGGTCACAATTCTTGTTATGAAAAGGATACTATCTGTTTGACGGGATTTCAAGAAATCCTAGAAAATAGTTATATGTCGACTCTGAAAACGTTAAAAAACTATAAAATGATTTTTACTGCTTTCGAATAGCAGTCCCTAGAGAGTATTACACTCATTCAAAAGAAGAACTTGATTTTATCATGCCATGAGTATAAATTACAAAAATTTTGAAATAAAGTTTATTTCCCATAATTATATTGCCCAATCAAACATTTTATTTAAGAAACCAACAATGTTATGAAATCTAATGACTCCTTAATCACATTAGTTGATTATATTAGTGGATAGCAAACGCGATGAATTTTCCGAAATATATTGAGCCTTTTCTTGGGCTCAACTTTTTTTTTAGTTTTTCAATTTTTTTTTATTTACTTATGCTAAAATTATTTTTTTATTTCCTCCATTTTAAAGAAACTTATTGCGAAGCATAAAACCAAGCCAACAGAAAAAAATGTGTGCAAAGTTTTTTCAGTTATTATCCTTACAATCTTCTTTACATCATTTTTTCAGTAAAAATTTTCGTGCAGTTGAAATTCATCATAATTAAAAGTAAGCTTCTAACTATCATTTGCAAGATCGAAGATAACGAGAGTTGTATTCAGCACGTACTGCTAACGTTGACTGCCCTCGCCAGTGAGAGTTCGTCGCTGACGGAATATCGTTAGAAGGTGAATTACCCGATGGTGATGAAGAACCATCGTGACGAGTGGTACTTTCCTCGTGAATCTCAACCATAATAAAATAACAACGATGCCAAAATCTAAAATAAATATATATAATAGGACAAATGCCACTAAAGCAGAACGTGCATTGAGTAGTTGTAGTGAAACACAACCTGTGATGCTACTGGTACACCAACCAAATGGTGCCTCTAAAATCTTACGTAGTACTAAGAAACGAATCGATTTGATTTTATCAGGATATACGCATGCTGGAGAGTTTTATATTGAATAGTTTCTCGCACACCTAACGAATGATTTTTTATATGGACATTACAAATAAAAAAATGGAACGCTTCACGAATTTGCGTGTCGTCCTTGTGCAGGGGCCATGCTAATCTTCTCTGTATTGTTCCAACAGTATATGCTCATCGGAGTGAACAAAACATGCCGACCGCGGTATCCATCCGAACTATACTCATCATCATCAGTATTAATGATTTATATAAGAAATCATAAATGCAAAACTAGCTTGGAGATCAACAGCTCAGAGAGGATGACCATATTTATCTCTGATAAGCAAACACAACTCACTCTTCAGTAATTAAAAAAGAACTCAAAAATAGCATCAAGGGACAGAAGCTGTTGAGTGAAAATAATTTGCGTGAAAAGAAGAAATGATTTTAATGAGAAGTAAATTGCTCTTGATCATTTCAATATTTCTTTTTATAGGGAAATCTTGAACGAAGCAGTAGCAATTTACACGTAGGTAATGCAGGAGCCACAACGGAGCGCGAAAGAGTGCGTGATCCACGTGACGTGATTGACGATGTTCACTGCAAGATTGCTTCCAATCATCTAACGAACATGAGGAAGGAGCCTTATACAAGCGGTTTGACTCCCTCAGCAAGTTGCCTCCAAGCCGGCGAGAGGAGGAGCCTATGAGAATTTTGATTCGTCCACTTGTCTGCATCTCTATATGGGATATACACCTTTCATGTTTTCCTTGCTCAACCCGGCAATTCTCTCATAGTGTGACATTTTGGCTCCTTTCCAATGTGAGGGAATCGGAATTTGAAGACAGTGCGGGGGTGATGTGTTGCGTGAGGCAATACGTGGGTGAGTAAGGCTATCGGGTCGTAAGATGAATAGATCAGTTGTAAAACTTATAGGATTATAAAATAGATCAGCCGTAGATGTATACATTTTGCTTTATACTGATTAGTTCTTTGTTTTACCTCATGTCGATATAAGTCTTGGAATATGTTTTCGTTTTATTTTGCATCTTTTACATCTATAAATATATACATATTTTTAAGATTACAACTCGGACATTTGCTCATTCGCCATCATGCCGAAAATGAAATTCTATGGTGATCGGCCACAGTCATTTTCTATCGATGATTCTGGGGAACGTTATTACATCGGTGCTGAGGTTGGTAAAACAGCTTTACTGTATTGTCCAGATAAAGTTTTTATAAACGGAGTTACTGTTCAATATATTATTCCACAGTCGTTTACGCTTCTTTATAATCACTACTTTATTATACCAGATTTAATTTTCACACTTTGCCTTAACACGAATTTTAGGTGGGACAATACATGCGATATCACCGTGGTTCGTTATACAAAAGATTTCCACAGCTCTGGAAACGGATGGCAACATTGGAAGAAAAACGAAAAATGCAAGAAATGGCGTGTCCTTCATCTTTTCTGAATACCAATATAATGTTGGTGAAAGCTTGTGAGGTATGACTAATCTCCTAACCTTATATCAAAAGGATTGCGTTATTATGACTGTTTAAACGTGTAAAGTTTCCTCCGAGTAGATGCTACATTTATTGATCATACTTTTTCCTTATTTTTAAGGTATTCATTTTGTAAGGAAATTCATAATTTTGATCATATGCTTTATTAGCAGCAGCGATAAAGTACTGATTTAAGGTTGATGAAATATTGATGGGAAATGAGGAGAAGTATAGAGCTGGAGGGACTGGTACAGCAAGTAGCGGCATGTCATCCGGAACCACTACTGCTCTTAATGGTACTCCGATGAAATCAACACGTTCTGGAACAGGCCCATGGCTAGGACAGCAAGTATATTTTAACAGTTGATAGTAATTGGATTTACATGGGTACAACTTTTCCATAAGTAATAGTTCATTTGTTTGGTCAAGTTGATTTTTATTTTAATGGTGTTTTAAAAAATGTATTATCTCTTCATTCACTGAATGAAATCCTCTAAAATCCAATAAATATGTGATCTAAATAGAAAGCTTCTAAATCAGTAGTGGGAGTGAACTTCATTTTTCTTACAACGATTGGTATTTATTCACTGTGTTTCATTCTTTTTTAGTAGTAATATTCTAATTATAAAAAATATTGAAATGCTATTGTAATATAGTTAAGTAACCTGTTTTTGTAAATCCTACTTAACTTTTTATAGTAGCTCTTCAGAAAATGAAATAAAAAATAGATAATATTTTCCCTACATGTGGAAAAAATATTGATTTCAAGTTGCACAGCAAAAGCTATTTCACAGAATCATATGTTGAAGGTAAGCAGCGGTTCACATCATCTGGAAAGTGTACCTTGTTCTACACCAGTGGCACATGCACGTGGGCATATGAAAACACGAGACTTCGCTTCGTCACCAGATGATCTAGACATGTATAAAAGAATTTTGGACAATGCTGACCAATCTGAGGAATTGATACCTATAAGGTAGATCTTATACTTTTTCTAGGAATGCTGATTATATGGCAAATTTATAAAAAGAATTTTTTCTTTTTTGTTGCAGCTTCTTGGTTTTTTTTATTGCTTCTTTTTTATTCCTTCTTCATTTAATTTTTAGGTTGGATATGGAATTAGAAGGTGTAAAGCTGCGGGATACATTTTGTTATAACCGCAACGAAAAGCTAATAACGCCAGAAATTTTAGCTGAAACAATGTGTGATGATCTCGATTTGCCCACGGGGACTTTTCAGAACGCCATTGCACAAGCTATACATCAGCAAATTGAGGTTAATGTGTAATTTTATTTTTGCTTTTAGTAATTTCCAGTCATTATATTTTAATAACTCGACTAGTAAGAAACTCACTGACTTGACGGACGACATTCTGAGTTTGCTTCTAGATGTGAATGGTTGAATAAAGATTCTAATTTAATTTGGAAAGACAAAAGCGGAATTCAGTTTTCTGCATTTCAGGCGGCGGGGGAAGCAGCTCCTGTAGATACGACATTAAGTGATCAGCGCGCACTATTAAAACTAAATATTCATGTCGGTAATCAGTCTTTGGTTGATCAGTTTGAGTGGGATATGAGTGAAGAGAAAAACAATCCAGAGTGGTTTGCTTCAAAATTAGCTTCTGAATTGGGTCTTGGAGGAGAATTTGTTGCTGCGATAAGTTATTCTATCCGCGGACAATTATCGTGGAATCAAAAAACCTACGCTTACAGGTATTTCTTTCAACTTTAAAGTATTTATGAGCCGATAGTTGTGACATTGCTATATATTGGACATTATTTTATTTGTACTTCACTGAATTACTTCATGCTTTGAGTCACTTAACCATGATCTTGATTTCTTGTTCTAATTAGGCTATAGTTAGTTCCTAGCTAATAAAAATCCCACCGTCCCAAATTGTGTGGCGATATATTTGTTTATACGCAAACATTATTTTCCAGTATTTTAGTCGAGTTTTGATATTACCATTATTAAAACTATATTGTTTCCATGGTATGAAATTGCTGAGCAATTTTTAATATTTTAGTGAGTCTCCTTTGCCAACAGTAGATTGTCCATTTCGGAATCCTGCAGATGCTGATGTTTGGGGACCATTTTTGGAAACACTCACAGACGCTGAAATAGAAAAGAAAATGCGCGATCAAGATCGTAATACCCGTCGCATGAGACGACTCGTGAATGCGAATCCTTATGGTGGCCTTTAATTCTTATGTATTGCGATCTCTTTAATGTTTTTATGAAAGTGTTATTGTAATAATGGTATTTAATTACCTCTAAAAAGATGAAAAAAATGCTATGTATCATAAACAAATACTCTTTTATTCAAAAGTTGTGTCAAGTATTTTGATTGATAACAGTTATCTTCTTGCACGTTATCTTCTTGCTAATATAGAGAACGGTGCTATAAAAGGTAGTGATTTCAATTATTTGCTAAATTATTGTTTGTGCATGTTATATTGAAAATAAGTTGCAATCAACTTTAGTTGATGACGATCAATAAATCATTTTTTTTCCCAATTAGATTATGAGGATGGTATTTTTCCAGTCGTGTTCATATTTGCCTACAATCTTCACATGTAATGTTTGTGGAAAATAACTTCAAATCTATACCTTTTACTTTTACAGTTGTTTGAAATGGCTACTATGGCAGGAGACGGGATTGAGGTTGACGAGGACATGGAGCTCGAACATACAGATCAAAGTTGGTTTTAGTATTTTTTTTATCAGTTGCCGCTGTATATTTTAGATTTTCTGCAAATTTTATACCTAGTTGGAAGTGTTACACTGAAATTTTTTTTTTTTTTGGTTTCATATCTGGGTTTTGGAATTTCTTTGTCTTACAATATTTTTACTTTTCACATTCAAGTTACTAAGTTACTAAGACCAGCATATTTTTTTAATTGCGATTGTAGGTTTCACGATTTATGAATTCTAAGAATATATTTTAAGTATTTCGGGACAAAAAGAGCATTAAATGAGGGATTCTTTTAATTTTTTTAGACTAGCAATATACTGTGAATTAAGCTATCATTGAATCTAATCAGGTCCTTTTAATATAAAAGTGTTTTCTGTAAAATTTGGACAATGTAACAACACAGTGACTTAAGTGATTGAGAATTCGACCAAATAGAATTTTCTCAATAGTATTGTTTGTGATTTCCCAAGTCTTTTTTTGTCGCTGTTTCAGAGTACTTCTAGTTACAATTGTGAATCAGATTGGTGATCATTATAACTTTTCTGAAATTAGGTAGTGTACTGTTTTTATAAAAAAATTTCCCTTAATTGCTTTTTTATTGAAAGACTGAATTTTTTTTCAAAAATCAACAGGCCATTTTCATGATATTTTCTTGAAAGCATTTTCGTCAACTTACTTTTTCAATTCTATGTTTGTGTTTGCGTATGTCTGCTATGTGCTGCTGTGCAGTCTTTTTCGGTCATATTCTTGATTTGCAAATATTTTGGTAACTCCTTGTTATTACGTCATGAATTTGCTCCTTAAAAATATCTACATACATGATTGATGTTATAGTTGATGATTTAAAAAGTCGGGTAACAAAGAAAAAAGGACGTGGTTTTGGTGGTGAAACTCATGCTGATGTCACGGAATATGAAGGTTTGGAGAGTATAGGTGGTGCAAACAATCCTAATGCTCCCCAAAGGTTTGGCGATGCCTTTATCATATTTTTTTTTCAATTCCTCAAGATTTAAAATTGAAAATCTTGAGATGTGATAATATTATTTTATAATAAACTCTTCACATCTTATTTTTCGAAAGAACTTTTTTTTCTCATGCTCTGTTTAGATCAGTAGAAGGCTGGATAGTATTTGTGACAAATGTTCATGAAGAGGCCCATGAGGATGATGTATATGAACGATTCAGCGAATATGGTGAAATTAAAAATATGAATTTGAATATTGATCGACGAACGGGCTTCTTAAAGGTTATTTTTTTATTTTTGTTGTTTTTCAAAAACTAAAATTCCACGGCCGCAATTCCGTAATGCTTAGAAGTTAAGAACTTGCATTTGTTTTGCTTTTTACCTTTCTGTTAAATCACCAATCTATTTCCGGCGCATTCCGATAACATCAAATTTGAGCAGTAGAGCTAAAGAATGGATTTTCACAATATTTAACAGTTTTTTTATAACAGTGATCAGTGTATGTGCTTCTGAGATTTTCGCTTGTTTTTTAAGATTGTCTCAAATTTAGGGATATGCATTGGTGGAGTATGAAACGCAGAAAGAAGCTCTTGCTGCAATTGAAGGTTTAAATGGCGCAGAACTGCTTGGACAAACAATAAACGTTAGTTGGTGCTTTGTTCGAGGCAGTGCGCAAAAGAAGAGGCGACGATGAATTAATTTCAGTTCCGTTTAAAGGGATCTGCAGTTTTATTTTGATAATGTCAAATGCGTCATTTATTGTTGATCTTACTGGATTTTACAGTTTTTTCTTTCGTTTAATTGTTAAGTGCACACTTGAGTTTTTTGAGGTTTATTTTTTTCAAGTTTTTTGCTGGAATTCAGTTCTGTTCTGTTGGGCATCTTAAAATATTGACTACAGATAGTGTGCAGTCGACATAAGATATTTATTCATGCGAAATTGTTTGTTGCTGTATAAAACTTATTCGCAGTAAGTTTGATTTGAAACTGGATTACTCAGATTTGTATCTGCGAATGGTTCTTAATACACTAAATAAAATACCTTGCACGAGAGCGGTCTAATGCATAGCTATCAGTTAAATTACCTAATGCTGGCAACGAGTAGGAAGCTCACTGCCAAAGATCGTCTTATCTTACGCACTTCATTCAGCAATGCTTGCACAACTCGAATGGTGAGGTCTGCTTTCTGACCAGTTATTTTTAGCAGAAAGTTACAATATCGATGGCACATTTTGTGATTTATGGCACAGAGTTGGAGGAACTTGATGATGAGTCGAGTTCGTTTGTTTTTATAACATTTGATCCTGTCATGCTATTCTTAAAATGCTTTATTCTATTGTTAATTAGATTGACTGACGAGGATAGAAGTTGACCTGCAATTATGAAGTAGATCTCTCATTTGTACTTGAGGTGCGGAGAGAAATGCTATAGTATTTTTGGGAGTTATTTGTAGTGATTTTTATTGTCATTTCTTTTTTTAATGTTTTTTTTTTTTTGAGTCAGGTTTTTTGTGCGATACCAGCATTAAATTTGAATCATTTCAGGTAGCGTAAACAGTGTGCGACCTCTTGGAATTGGGGAGCAGGTAGTGAAAGATGAAAAGGGTCGAAAGCGTTTCCATGGAGCATTCACTGGTGGTTTTTCTGCTGGATATTTTAATACTGTTGGTTCTAAGGAAGGTAATTATTATTTTTTTGTTCATTATTCTTTAGAAATAATCTCAATCTTTTCATCATTTTATAATATGTAAAGTATTTAAGGTTGGACACCAAAAAAGTTTCGATCAAGTCGCCATGAAAGGAGCGAGAAAGTTAATTATAAACCAGAGGATTTCATGGATGAAGAGGTTAAGTCTTCTTGTGTTCTATTTGATATAGGATCTGGAGGGAAGGTTGATAGCGATTGTCGCTTTATAAAGAGCAAGCTTAATATGTGTGTGAAATATATTTGAACACTGATTATGTCAAGTAATTTGTGAAATTGTTCTAACCATTATTTAAGATTTGCAGGACTTGAGCGAATTTGGAATAGCAGCCAGACGAATAAAAACTGCAGCGAATGTTGGTGAAGATAATAATGATAGACATTTACTAGCATGGGAACGAAATATGCAATCTTCATTCGAGTCATCACTTGCAGTTCATCTTCAAAAAATTATTAAACCAACTAGGTACGAAATCATTGATATTAGCATTTATGTTGAAAAGTTCAACTTTATACAGATATATTCAGGTATACTATTTTATAGAGACTCAATGCAAATATATATAGGATCATTATCTTGCAGGGACTCAATAGGCGTACAGCTGCTAAAAAAGATGGGATGGAGAGAAGGACATGGAATTGGATCGAAAATGTCACGAAAAGCATTAGAGAAACAGAAACGTACGTATAATCTTCGTTATTTTTGCGGTTGTGGTATGCTATTTGAAGAATTTTGATGATTAAACTTAATTTTATTTATAAGATTCTCTACATTATGAGTGAAGAATTCAAGCGAGGGGCATATCAATAATTTTACCCGCATACTTTTCCTACTTTCACTCCTTTTCTATATACTTTTATCTTTATGTTGATATATTCAGTGAATGACGATAGAACTCGTGGTAAAAAAGGGTTTTACAATGAGGAAGCAGTAAAAGAAGCGGATGAAATGGCACCAAATTTTTTATTTGCACCAAGCGACTTTGATCCAACTATTTTGAAATCCTATGAAGGCGTGCATGGTTTGGGATATTGCGGAATACAACACACTTCTGTGCTATCTGAAAAGTATGGCGTCCTTGAGGCTGCGCTAAAAGTGGAGAAAAAAGGGAAAGGTATCTCAGGGCAAGTATGTTTTTTGTGTATATATAGATATAAGATTTCTTTGTTTTGATTCATCAGAACATAATTATATGTATTTTATTACTAATCTTTGATAAATATTCTACCTCCTATGCAGTATCTGTTATGAGCAATTTGAGAGCAAATTTGGATTCAGATGTTCTTTGTGTTATGTTACAATAATTCGTCGCCTAAAAAGAGCTCAAAGGCTTCAGAAGGTTTTGCTCTTTCTAGTAATAGAAGTGAGAAATCGTTAGAACTGAATGCATTCGTCATGTTTTACGTATTTTAAGGCATTTGGTGTTGGTGCTTTCGAAAATGATGATGCGAACATATACACAAATTATGATCTTTCCCAGTATGATTTCGCGATTGATGCCAGTGGAACGGCATCCGATGTATCATGTAGTGCAAGTAATTATTTTTCTGATTTAATTGCTTTTGTTTCGAACAAATTTTTTTATCCACAAAACGAAAATTGGCACTTCAATTGATAAGAACAAGTCCAGAAATCATCTACAAGTTTTTGTTACTTTTATGAATTTATTGCAGATGACACAAGTTTTATAATGGCATCCAAACGCCAACCTGCAAGACACTTTTTTGAACCACCACGAATTCCATCGAATTTTTTACCGCGGCACATTCCCATCTATCCAGATATTTCGCAGATGCCATCAAATATCAAGCAGTTCAGTGAAAGAATGAATCATTTACAACGTGCAAAGTTTTTGGGAGAGGTAGTTTTTTTTTTTTGTTGAAAAGTTTGACTTCTTTCGACATATTGTTTTGAATAATTCTGTTTTGATAGACTGATCCAAAACGAGTCTTTGAATTGGTACGTAATGAAGATCGAAACAGACTGAATATTTCTCAAAGGAAAGATATAATACAAAATGCATTCGAAGAGGAACCCATGAAACAAGCACGATTTAAGCAATATGTGAATCATTTGAAACGAGGTTTGTAGATCTCTAATGTAATTTTTTATTAATTCAGAAAGTTACGTTTATTTAATTTTTTCTATCCGTATTGAATGCGACATAGTTTAATTTGTGATAGTGAGCATAATTTCGCATTCTAAAGTTGAACAAATTGTTATGAAGAAAAAATTAGGAGCAAGTACTTTGTTTTGTGAAGATATGTTTCTCAATTTTAAATCAGAGTATTTTAAACAGGACTGCACTATCCGCAACCATCCGATTTGACAAGGCTGGAATGGGACCAGGAATTACATGATTTTCAAAATATGCTTCCTCCTGAACTACTACCGCTTATATCGGAAGTTGAAAGACAGCAGAAACCACTAGTACGCCCAGATATAGCCGCTCCCATAGCCAATGTTTTAAAGTCAAAATTCATTTCTAGTTCAAACTCCTGTTCTGGGAAGGTGAGAGAGTGATTTATGGATGGAATTTTTTTGTTCTTTAAAAGTATTTTACTTCTCTATTACTATTTTATGTTATTTAATAGCGGATTGAGTTAATTATATTTTAATACATATTCGTTAAGATGAAGGAAATAGATGATGAGCGACTGACAGCTGTAAAGATGAAAATGTTTGGTATGAAGACTCGATCAATTCATGAATGGCACCCTGCTAAACAACTAGCTAAGCGATTCAACATTCCGGATCCATATCCCTCGTCTAATATCCTTGGTGTTCCTCACCTGCAGGTTTTTTCCTTATTCAAAAAATTCGTATTATTTATTTGGAAAATTGAAAAATTCTATATTCGATTTGTTTCTTTTTTCAGAAAACAACAAAGAATGAAACATTGACAAATCTCGGTGCTCATATGTTAACATTTGATTCAACGGCACAAGATTTAGAACATCGTTCAAGCTTAGGAAACATCAATGTGGAAAAAAAAGAGGCATTTTTTTCAGCGTCTTTTCATGGAAATAACGTATTTGTATCATTTTAAATTTCTTTTAGTCAGTAAACTTGTCAAGTGATTTTTCGAAATAGGAGTCTATTAAATCTTTGATGTGTTAAATTATTTATTTATTTACAGAAGGTTCTCTTATTCTGACAACTTTATTACATAAAATTAAATTTCGAGTGCCACAATGTGTCACGGACTTCATTCAACTCACTTTTTTAAAAATTGTTTTATGTTTTTCTAATGCTGTAAATAGTGCCAAAACTGTATTGCAACTAGACTTTTAAAACTATGACATACAGTTTACTTTCCTGTAATGAAAGAGATAATATATCACTTTTCTTATTCATGAAGGAGAATATAATAAGAATGTTTAGGATTAATGGATAACTTAGAAACAAAAAGGACCATGTAGTGAAGAAACAGTAAAGTTCACAAAAAAAAATTGTTTCATATAACACTTTTTTTGTTTTATTGCAGATTTTTGTAACAAAAGAAACACTTAGCGAAGACAGAACCAATTCAGATGAGAAGCCATCAGAAGAATTTCTGAAAGCTATATTTGGTAACAGCGACGAATCTGGTACTGATACAGATGAGGAAGTACAAGAAGTACAAGATAGTCAGAACGCAGTAATAGTTCCACCAACATCTGAGAGTTTCCATGATCACACAATTGAAAGCGATAGGAATATTAAATTAGAAAAAATAGTCACAGTGATGGATATCGATTTGGCATCTGATAAAGATGATGATAATAAAGAGTTCGGACCCATACCTCCACCTCCTATGTCTTTGTCAAGGATTGATACAAGAGCAAACATTATCGACTCAAATAAAAAAAGTAAGTTATTCTTTATAAATGCAGATAGTAATTTATAGTTTGGATTGTTTCTATAACCTTGTCTTGAAAGAAAAGTTAACTTTTTTTCATCTCCATTCGTATCCACAACCGCAAGTTACTTTCTCAAAAAAAGCAATGTAGAAGTATTATCGACTTAGTGTTGTTGCGTTAAGAGCAAAGGTTTGTATCCTCTTAAGTATTTTCAGAGAAAAAGCATCATAAACATTCGAAAGAGAAGCGAAAAAGGGGAAGGAAGAAAACTGAGAAGAAAAAAGTAAGCTTCTGGAAATTTATTTAGAATATAATGATGAAACCTGTTGCATCCATAGCTAACTTTTACGCAAACTATAACTCTTTTAGCACAGAAGATTACATCACCATCAAGGGTCACACGAATAACTCATTCAGTTGCATAGCGTTTTAGCAGAGTACTTATGAAATGAAGCGATTGTTTCCCAAGAAACGAATTTTGAATGTATTGACAAACAGTGATTTCACATCATTATGTATGCCAATTCTTTCATATTGTAACATGTTCTTTTACGATGTCACACTTGCTGTCTATCCATTAAAATTACAACAATGTATGCAAAATTCACATTTTTTTGCGGTGGTATGTTTTTTCTTTCAGAATATAGTGCAAATCTTTTTTTTTTTGTAATTACAACCATGATGGAAGAAAATGCAACAACAGAGGAAGCATTTAAAAGCTAGTGTCATTCAGATTATAAAAGTTACTTTTATTTTTATCATAGCAAAAAAAATCTTGACATAAAGTGGGAGAAGGAGCGATACATGACATCAAATGTTGGAAAATTATTTATATAAAATTCAGAGTTCCTTCATTAAGCAGGAATAGGACATCAATCGAGATCCGGTTCAGGGGCCTTGTTTGATGGTGTCGTGTTTGTTGTGGTCCCACCGTTTGCCGCTGTTTCTTTCATCTAAAGCATTCAAAAAAAATGTGTGAAAAAAGCGTAAGAAGTCAATGCTGTTTAAGTTTAAATCTCAATATATCAATGTAACCTTTATTATGTGACAAAAAAAAAGTAATTTCATTGAAACACAGCCCGTTATGGTATGATCCGTCAGAAACTTTCATTTAATACCTCAAGTGCTAAGCTATTTAAAAACCTTTGGCGTATTATATTAGCTTTTTAAAAGTTTTAGCACCTTTTCTAAATATTACTCAGCTACCACCGTTTCACTTCATACAAATTCGAAGCAGTTAAATTATCAAAATGAAATATCGGCAAAAAGTACAACCTCTGGATTTCCACCGCCCATGCTGAAGCCACCAGTGGCATTACCAATTTTGCTGAATAATTTCATCACTTTTGGATTTGACATATGTTTCGCAATGTTAGCCGGGTTATTGATAATATCCATGTAGGCTGCAAGGACGCCTTCATCTTGTAAGAGACTCATAACCTCCGAGTCTTGGAAAATTTTTTCGAATCCTTTTGGCATATTTGGCATACCAAAGCTACCGAAGCTTCCTCCTGCGCAATCAGCATGCTGCAAATAATCATTCTAAATGTGGCTCTATCTCATTTTAAAGCCAGAAAGCGCAATCGCTATTTCTGACAATGCAATTTGTTATCACTATATTTGTTAGCAGAGTTATAATTCATTTTAAAACAAACCTTTTTCTCCTCTTCTTCCCGTTTTCGTGCTTCCTGTGCTTGTCTAATCCGTTCTTGACGCGATTTCAACTCCCTTTCTTCTCTGCGCCTCTCTTTATTTCGATTATGCTCAAGAATTTTCTTGGCCTGGAATTTAGAAATCAAGTAAAATAGAAAAGGTACATAAAAATGCACGAAAAGTACAAAAGATGTAAGTTACAACCACTCCTGCTCTACATTCTGGAGTTTATAGCAAATGCTCCCACTTATTTGCTATTCCTTTTACTAAATTAGCAAAAATTTAAATTCCTCTTGATGAATAATCATCAACATTTGGCTATAAGCAACGATTTCATAATTTGCTGAAGACAGTCAAAGTATAATTTCTAACTTGTTTTATACTCACGATTTTGATTCTTGATGGAAGTCGTAGGAGTAAATCATAAAATCATTTAACGGTTTCCGTATTTAGTGCTTATATTATATCTTTGATATTCTTAAACATGGAAGAGCATTAATGGGTTTTAAATATGGCTTGGTATCTCTATCATTCAACAGAAAGAAATGGATACATTTGGACGGAAGGTAGTTAAAAATGAAATAAAAGATGGAATAACAACATGTTAAGTAATTAAGCGAATGTCAGCTGCTTGCATCTCCACAAATATTAGAAATTACATTTATCTTTCTGTGCAATTATTAGCAAACTATGCATCTTCTCTTACTATACAAACTGATCTACTTCCTTTCATACATTCTTCAATTTACTTCATATGCATTATAATAATTATGCAGATTTCCTACTGTGGACGATGTGGAAAGGAAAATAAAAAGATGTAAAGAAGAACTTGAAAATTTTGTCTGCTAAGAAACTGAAAAAGGCAGATGGAAAGTTTGAGATTCACAATTGAAAGCATCCTTATTATGTTTTACTTATATTTATTATTAGATTTGATGTACTGCGGACAGACTTCTCGAAAAACAGGATGGGATTTACTTATTGAACTAGTGAATATAGCTGCCGTTTTTAATATCGATGATTCGATCTTCATTAAATATCAAATACAGCGGACATCATCAGTGCTTGAATTAAGCAAAATTAAGGGCTTTTCGAGTATCAAATATTAAACTCGACGGTTGTAAATATAAAGTTTTTGAAGTAATTCTCTTGATTGGCAAACTGACATATAAATCACGCCTTAGGCACACAATAATGAAGACACCTGTGCTTGAAAATCAAGAAGTGAGGGGAAGCAAAAAAAACCTAGCTCTGTCGATATTTCTCACACAAAATAAAACAAGTCAGTATGTTAATAATCGAGAAAACAGAAAAGAACTGCAGAAGAAAGTGAAAGACAGAAACTAGTAGCAAAAAGTAATAGAATTTGTGAAAATAAGAGGCGGTCCGCAACTTTCACTTAGCAGCAGAAGTTTAAATCTCAAACAGATATCGAGTGGTGCAATAGGGAAGCCTGTATGTTTTTCAGAGTTCAATAAAAGAGAATATCTTTCATCATAAGGCACAGATGATACCGATTCAAGTGATTTATTACATCGCTTTTCCAACTGTTTTCTTATCGATCAGTGGAGCTGAAACCACTAAAAATACTAAGAATGGTTAGTCTTTTTTTTTTAAAACATTGCAAGCAATATTATGATGAAATTATAAAGTTTTATGCACGCAGGTCGAAAAATTTTCAAACACTAAGGCATTGAGCATCATGAATTTTAAACGATGACGCACTTAAAGAAAAGTAACTTCATCTGACTGCTTACCAGCTTTCATTATATGATATCTGTTCATCCTTCGAAAATATATTTTTTTACATAATATTACATGATATCTGTTCGTCTTTTGAAGGAAGGACTTCAATTCAAATGCATTTAACAAAAGAAAAAGTAATGAAAAAAAATGTGTTGATACTAATGTATTTGACTTCCTTCAGTAATTCATTATTACTTTGACGAAGCATAAAAACGCATTTCTAATAAGTACCATTTGTTTCATCCTAGAAATATATTTCTTTTTCTTAGTCCAAGAACTAAATTTCTGAAGCAATGATGGTTATTTTAAACTTTCAGTTCATACTGATTTCATTATTATTGGCTATTCATGGCAATATGCTACAAATGATGAAAGTCTTCGTAAATTTGTTGACCAATTCGGACTACCCCCCAGAAGTAAAACTTTGAATCTTTCTTTGCAATCCTGACAATAATCCAATTAGAAGTTAGATGAAAAAATAGAGGTTCAAAAAATAGAATAATCTAATGACACGGCATTAATCCATACTGGAAGGATAGCATGAGAGAAAGTGAAAATATTTCTAATAATTCAGAGAATGAAACTCAAATATTCCGGATCATAACGCGTGAAATGGAAAAATGGAAAGATCTGTTAGAAAGTCACATCGACGTATATGTGGAACTGACACCTTGGCTACAAGAACAAACAGTAATAAATATTTATAAGACGTGTGATGAAATGAACTTAGCTGAATTCACATTGCTCCACGACATTGTTAACACGACAAGGAACAGTATACTTATTATTGACTCTGGTAAAACTTTCTTCATCCTTTTTTATCTAAAATCAAAAAGTTAAGAAATCAACTCAACTAATTTCTTCATAAATGTTTCATCGATTCGTACACAGCACTTAAACAAATTTCCTTAGAACTTGAAGCTAAAAACTGATACATCCTTCTCGAATCTATTTTCCATTCCCTCCTTACATTCGTTTATTATCAGATAATTTTAAAGCCTTGACCTATGATTATAAATTTTTTACCTTGTTTTTAGATAAAAAATTACATGTTAAATTCATTTTCATTTTTTTTCATCACTTCCATTTTCATGTTTAGAAACTATAATGAAGCTGTCTTCTGCCAAACTTAAACATTTTGAATTTTAATTTTCCAGACAGCAAGTCAAGCGATCGAATTAATATTTTGATGCGATTCGCAAGTAAATGCAATCTTTGTGCTCAATCGATTGGAAAAGTTTCTTCAACCATTTACTTCTGTAATAACGCAGTGAACAGCAACTGGATAAACAAGATAGGAAGACCATGTCATGCAGCAATTTCGTCAGTACCCAATGGCTTAAAACGTGAGAATACTATCTATTCTTTGATACCTCGGATTTTCGCATCCGCTACTGAGCACAAATATCACGGTTGTTTTTATCACAGCACACAACAATCACACGTAGCATGCAAAACATATCAGGATTCACAAAGTCACTATGTGCTCAACAGACACCGAAGAAAGCACCATATTTATGCTAAAAAGTACAAACTTTTAAAGCTACATCGGGAACAAGAAGCCAAGCGGAAGATTCGAAAAGAAACATCTGATATTTTGGAAGTGCCGATTGGAAGACGGAAGTTGCTTTGCAAGTACCGGAAATCCTGTTATAAGACAGGAATTATCCCGGACACGTGGAATATACACAATGTTTTACCACGGTTTATGAATCTATATGGACAAAAAGAAAAAGAAACCGAAATGCAAAAAGGGAATAAAAATGATGAGAAAGAAGAGATTAGCGAGGCAGAACTGAAACTTCTATGTCGTTATCGTAAATCGTGTTACAAAGAAGTGGGCGCTGAGATTGAGAAAAGTGCTTCGAAGGTTCAATCAGGACCCATTTTTTCTCGTGTTACCACCATTCTAGCAGTAACGAAACAAAAATCAACTAAAGAAATTGCCAAAATGGCCCTTACAGAAGCAGAAGACAAAGAAAGAATTGCAGCACTGCGACCTACACCAAAAAAAGTAATTATTGATAGGGATCTTAATCAAATCAAAGAAAAAATGACGAAACGACTAGCTTGCAAATATCGGAAATCCTGCTATGATAGCGGTGTTCTTCCAAAAATCGATACACCATTCGACAATTTATTCCAAAAATTATATAATTTTCTAAGACGAAGAAATCAGCAAACGGGCATACAAGATACTCACAAGGATTTTAACGATCTTAATGATAACGAAAAGAGAGTTTATTGCAAGTATCGGAAGTCCTGCTACAATACTGCTCAAAAACCTGTAATAAACAGTAGCGAAATTTTCAAATACATGCATATTGTTAAAAAATTTGAAGAAGTGATCCCTTTAAAGATACGTTGCAAATACCGAAAATCGTGCTATGACACTGGAATTTTACCGGACCTCAAAAAAAAAGTTAACAAAGAAACGCAACCAGTGGTACCAATGCAAATAGTTACATCATTGTATCACTTTAAAACACTCTGTAAATATAGAAAAAGTTGTTATAAACGAAAAGCTGAAGAGCAACACAATTTAAATGTTGGACTACTTGATAAAATTAAAACACTCGACAAGGATGAGTCAGAATGGAAAAAAGAAAACGGAAAAGATCAGAAAATTATTAAACCATTTCAGAAAGAGGCCATACTCAAATCTGAGAAAGCTGAGGAATCAAATACATCCAAAAAAATGGAACGCGATTTCGAAACGAAGACTAATAATAAAAAACTGACCAAAAAATCGAAAGTTTTTCTCCCTGAATTGGAGGAGAAGAAAATAGCAGCAACAACAGGAAATGAGAAATTTGAAAAAACTGTGCATAAATCAAAGAAAAAAAAGACCAAAGATCTAAGTGAAGAAACACCAGTGGAGCTGGCAAAGAAGGATCAGAAGACTGCTTCATCAACAACAATTACGAAACAATCGATAACAGAGAAGAAGGCTCCGGAACGTGTAAGACCTAAAAAAGAGAGACTGAAAGCTGAAAAAGTACAGAAGGACGAAAAAATTATAAAGGAAAAAAAAAATTTAATTAAGAAAAAAGGTTCTGGAAAGAAACCACTATCGACAGCAACAGAAGAACCATTAGTTATCAAGATAATACAACCAGTATTCTCACAAGCTGAGAACATAACACCTCTAAGGGATGTGAATATCTACGACAAAAGTTTAAGTCCAATAGCCATCAAGCTCTTATGCAAGTACCGTAAATCATGTTATCAGGACGGTAAACTGCTGCTAATCAAAACCGAAAAGGCAACACTACATAATTTCCAAGAAAAGGAAGACCACAGATCGCTAGAAATACGATGCAAATACCGAAAATCGTGTTATGAAACGGGTAAATTACCAGAAAATCTTCAAGGAAACTTAATGACCAGACATCTGACCGAAGAGAAGAAAGAATATCTCCCACTTACACTGAGGTGTAAGTATCGAAAATCATGTTACGAAACCGGAAAACTGCCACCAATCGAAATAAACCCATTTGGATTCTCAGTGATTCAAATTATAAACGAATATAAAAATAGACAGTCTGTCAAAGAGAAACTAAGTAAAGAACAATTAAAACTACGCTGCAAATACCGGAAATCATGCTATGAATCGGGTAAACTTCCACCACATTTAAATCATATGGAATACGTAGTCAGTACCTCTGTCAAACAGTACGAGAACCTACAGCTAAAATGCAAGTACCGCAAATCGTGTTATAAAAGCATGGAATTGGACATAAAACTAGACAGAGTCCGTAAAAAGGAAGAACAGAAAAAAATGCAGGAAGGAATAGTAAAAGCGCCGCACCAAACGAAACCGGAAACTAAACACAAAGAAAAAGATCAAAAAAAGAAGGTGCAAGGGGAAGTTGCGAATGAGGAAAACAAGCGAACACCTAAAAAAAAAAGTAAAGAGTCTAAATTTGAGGCTAAAGAACACGAGTACATGCAGATAGAGCCACTCGATTCACAACCACGACAAATAGAAATCAAACTACGACTGCTAAATAATACACAAAAGCTTAAATGCAAATATAGACTAAAATGCTACAATGGTGTGCCGCTGCACCAGGCTGTTGAAGAGGAAAAAATTGAAAAGCAACGACAATTAAGTATTAAAGATTTTCGCCGTGCAAATGGCGCTATTTGCAATATATATTATATATCATGCCGGAAAAAGGCTGGTTTGCCTATTCTTGAACGTGCACCAATAGGGCCGAATGGGCGACGTCTCTGCCGGAAAAAGAAAAAAGAAGAATTACTGATTAGATATAAATAGAAATTTTTGCTATTTATGGACTTACCTTTTCTATCAAATTGGTATACTGTTTAACACCCCTTGTTTTCTCTTTGCGCATTTTTAATATTAAAAATGCATTTTATCATTTCGGCACTGTCACTTGCACGTCACACTTAGATAGAACAAAGAGCATTCGTCAAAGTGGAAATAAAGCTAGCACAAAACGCTATTTGCAAGTGTTACTATCGAGAGTATTAGATCATTATGTAGCATATCGGGTAATAATGACATTCTACAAACTAAAAAATAATGTGAAAGCTCTTTCAAATAGATGTAAATATATGACAGCAAATAACAAACCATCCGTTTGATCCATTTCCCGATTTGATGTATGACTGCATCAAATTACTCACCATATCAGGACTTTATTTTACATAGAAGATATTCTTCTATGCAATATAGAAGTAAGGGTTTCGAATGTATTTCTAAAGTGCAAGTTAATGTATTCAATTTGCAAAAATCTTAAAGAATTTACGTTTGGTTCGACTTCTTTAAGCCAAACATTTGCCTCATCATCGTAATCTAATTTACATGCCATAGCTAAATCACGGTGCGCTTCCACGAAATTGCCCAGTAATCTGTAAATAAAATGACTAAGTGCAGTGCAATTAAGGAGAAAAAAAGATAATTCTGGACATGGTACAAAACATGGATTGATAGGACCTGTGAGCTCGTCCACGAATTTTATAACTTTGTGCCGAGTCTGCATTCAATGAAATTGCTTTATCACAATCGCGAATTGCACCATTTGGCTTATTCAACTTCAGAAGAGCGCTGAAGAATTCAATAAAGCAGTATCATTTTTCTCAAAAATTGGGAAGATTTTTTTCTGCTAAAGAACTAAAAAAAAACAATTCATTACTTTGCCCTCTTCGCATGCAAAACAGCCAGTCCTGGGTTTAATTCGATGGCTTTGCTAAAATGCACCACAGCTTTCTCAAAATCTCCTGAAAAAAAAAACGCATGCAATAATACAGAAAATACAAAGAGAAGCTAAATTGAATACCATACAACCTGTGCAAAGTCCACGTTTTGATACCTATCCCATTCCTTCGTATTTAACATACCGTTTTAAACACAAAATGAAACTATAGGAAACATATTTAAAAGGGACTCGGAACTACTAATAGCAGTACTTTGGTAAATTTAATCAATTCTAAAGATTACCTTCGTTAAATGCATTTATAGCAAGCATCCGTTGTTCAGTTGCCTTTTCCATATCCTCCTCAGTTATCTGCAATTGAGAATTTCAAAGCGAATGTTATGAGTATGACTAATTATTGTATAATTCAACAACGAAAAATGTGCAATATCATAACCTCTTTATTATTATCACCCATTGGAAGCGGTTCATCTTCTTCGCCCTTTATTACCCCCGACATGTCCAATTCTAACTCCTCTTCTGGCTCCACATTTTCCTCGTTTTTTGGCAGTTCTTCACTGTTATCAGCTGGCTTGGATGATTTTGTTTCACTTGGTTCTTTTGGTGGCGGTGGGAGTTTTGCACCAAGACTGTAAAATAACCACACTTCTAGAAATTATTTTTCTAGTAGATCAATACATTTATCAAAATTAATATATTCACCAAAGTTACTATTCAAAATAACCCTTTTTTTTTCATAAGAAGGATGACGCAATTCAAACTCCTAGAGCTGATTTCTTGTTTTAACAGCATATAGTGTACCGGTATTTCTTGTTCAACAGTCACAATGATAAACATCATATTAGCAAAAATGTTGGAATAACAAATGAAAACAGTACAAGCCAAGTTGAAGAAATAACCTTTCAAGATAATCTCTGTAGAATTTGAATTTTGGCTCATACAAAATTGCCGGATTACTTTTGCAAACATTCACGAATTGACGCAATAGTTCAACCTTAGTATCCATCTCGTTTGTTTCCACGATATTTATTCTTATAAACGAGAAAGTTCGTCGAACAACAGCAAAACAAAGGTTCACCTGGCTCAACTAGTTTACGTTATCATTTAATTCAATCAAACAATTGGATCTTTTCCATCTTAATTATTCTTCATGACAGGAGAAATGGCTAAGGCTAAGTCAACAAAAATACGCATGTATAAATACAATGCCTAATAAAAACATGTTCTACACATAAGTATACATATTTAGGACTGTTCGAGGACAAGTCTTTGATAGCTTAGCAAAGAAAAATCCGTGGCTTATATCACACTGGAAAGTTAATTTTACGTGCAGTACACGCAGTATTACATCGCAAACATCGGCCAACCATGAAGTACTTTTCTCGCCAGGCAGACTGGCACTTAATGGCGATGATTTAGTCGGGAATGACATAACGATGATAATCATTTTATTGTTTATTGGAGGGCGGTGAAGGAAGTCAGGTATGTGGGAGAGGTAATTGATCTCCTTGTTTTTCAGGAATGGACTACATTAATTACAAACGTTTTATCAGGAACGCTTTAACAAATAAAACATAGTAAGTTGTTTCTCTATGTTTTTAACAGAACTGCTTGCATACATCAACATAGTTTCTGATAAATTGATGCATTCAGCTCGAAGCAACTTTTTTTTATCAGGTGCTGATAACGCCCATACAATGAATTGTTAATTAGTACTCTTATTACATATTGCTTTACTTCTATTCACACACTGTTGATCATGATCTTTCCACTTTGTCCATGTAACTGAACCATAAAGTCATACTGTACTTTATAGTTTTTTTAAGCTTACCAACATATGGTGCTTTTGGTGTAGGAGCGGTACTTGCGGTAATTTACATGACTAATTGGGAAACGGTTGGACGCCGTATACCTCTGTGGAAATATCACTTCGAACCGATAGCTGCCGAGGAAAGCAATTCCACTAATGCTGCTCCGTGAAAACCAATTACTTCTATTTATGCTCCTAGAAAGTTATCACTACTAGTCTGTTTGGAAACTCTCGAGACACTGATATGTTAGGATAGATTTAGTTTTCTTTCCTTCCCCTATCGAAGACTTTCCATTTTCGTTTCGAAGAATTTCTTTTCCTTATATCTTAAAGAATCTAATTTTTTTTGCAGAAAAACTATTCCTCGTAATTTAATCAATGAGTGTTTTTTTTCTTGGAATTGAAAAAAAAAACAAAAACAAAAACTCAGTGCTGTCTGCTGGATGGCTTTGGAGTAATGCAACTACGGATTTCTCATACGTTGAAATTTTTTGGCAAGTGTAGAGAAGATAGAGAAGATTCCTCTTTTCACACTTATTATATGCATTATAGGTTTATTTCAAATGATTTCGCAGTATTCATATAGATGAATATTTTTCAGCATTATCTTTTTTATGCGTTCAATTAAATTGTTATTGATGTGTGCCAGTTTAAAATTATTTGAAGTATTTATTTAAATTTTTTAGATTAAATGCTCTTTCCAAAGTTCGATGTTATGCAACTACAAAGTAACAATTGCTTATATTTTTAATGTTACTTATTATTAAAATCTTGCACCTTCGTCTTTACCAACAGTAATTTTGTTACTGCGGTATTCACTGTTTACTACCAATCAGTTCATTTGGTGTTGCCCTGTGGTGTATCGATAATTCCATCTCAGTTAAATTTAAGAAGTAAAACAATGAATCTTACATTTATTGACTATTAAAAATAAAACTTAAAGCTGGTTTCTGCTGCATTAGCAATTGAACCATTTTATCAAATTTTTGCCAGACTACTCCATGAATTTAATTGTTTTTAGGTATCTAAAAGAAAATTATTAGATTTGTTCCAATGAACTGAAAATAGCAGTATTTAGTCATAAAATCAAATTATTTTGAGAAATATCGGAGCAATTTCGCGAACAAATTAATGAGTAATAATCAACGAAAAAAAAATCATGTCTCGGAAATTGGAGATAGTCGTTGCACCGGAGGTGTAAGAATACATTCGGCCAGTGTTCGCCCAACACATGCGAAACGATGGTAAACTGTAGTTTTATCTGCTCTATAACATCGATGTACGATATTACGCATCAACACATCTCTTCCAAGTTCAACGAATAAACCGTCATCATCCACACAACCTCAAGTATTATTTGGAAGTTTATTGAAGATAAAGATTAACTTCCTTATGTAAATACCACCAACAGATAAATGATCTTTAAGAAATGATCTTTAAAACATTTCTGTAATTGCAACCAAAAAATGCTGAGCTATTTGTGAAAAAAACATTTTAGTAATAAATTAAAATTCACCAAGTACTCGAACGATTCCATATGATGTACACTGATAACGAATATGCTCTGATGTCCATATTTGTCCCTCATTGAAAAATTCATTATCTTTTTTACATCCAATCACTGTAACTTATAACTTCCTCAAATATAAGAATACATTCATTTATTTCATTATTTTATGCTCTTAACCGTCAATCTATAAAAGGAAATCAAATTTTCCATCGTTGCAGCGATTAATTTCTTTTTCTTTTCTTCTTACGATTTAAAACGGAAACGGTTTGATGAAGTTCCAATGATAAAGTGAATAAAATAATACAATTTGCAGTGTATCGTACTCGTCCTTGGTCAAGTAGCTCACATTTATGCAAATAATGATCAACGATTCGTTCGGTTCCTACAGCAATTGTGATATCTGTGTTTCGAACATAACAACCTGCAATTTAGCATAAATTTCACATCTAAATTACTTTATTATATGAAAAGATGAGAGAACCTTGCTATGATGTTAAAATTGTTTACGAGGAATATCGCCCAGAAAAGTTTAACCAATATGTAGTATTATTGTACGCTATATTTATAACAGCAATCATCGAAACCTTTCTTAAAAATCAAGTCAATAAGCGGAAGGAAAATCGTTTTCCTTCCTTTTTTCCTTCCCAATTAGATTAATTTAATCATACTATTATGATCAGTTCAAATTATCCCCTCATATAATTACCTTCAGATCTCTACAATTTTCGTAATATTTAAGCCAATTCGAAATAATGTTTTTTTAACTCGAAAAAATTCCAAAATCAATGTTTTTTAATTCGAAAATTCCAAAAAAAAAAAAACCTTCAATCGTAATGCCATCTTTTTGACAGACAAGCACAAATGATCCATTACGAAAATGATCGCCAACATCGTAATGAATCCCATTATCGTAACATGTTGATTCTGAAGATCATTATTATAATTATTTCTGATAATTAATCATTAGTATAATTATTTCATTTAATACTTCTTTCACATACGTGTCTTATTCGCTAGAAGAGAAGGAAGTGCTAAGACGAAGGGAAAGATGAAAAGAAAAGTCTCCCTTACCTTTTTATTCAGAAGATCAAATGAAGCCATTTATATGATCATTAAAAAAAATTTTATTGACAAACAATTTTAATTACTATGGAAAATTTTTTTCCTATGCTTTTTCATTCTAAGGATATTTATAGGTTCTTTTCGTAATAATTTAACAGTCCTTTTACCTTTATTCAAATTCGCATAAATTTTAACAATATTTGATAAAGTAAATCTGTAAAATTTGAGCGAACTAATTTTCATCCCTAAAGATGCCGGGGAATAGTAAATATCGGTTTATTAATTTTAGGATCAATTAGTTTTTACAGATTTCTCTGATCTCCCCATCTCACCTCTAACAATCTATCGACACTCATGTAACATATATACAAAGGTCTATAGCTTCTGAAATCTCGGGAAGTTTAGATAAAATGGCGCAAATATTGATATCCACTCTTTGCATGCGCAACTATTATTTTTATCTAACAATCACCGAGGAATCCAAGATATTTTAGATCTCTTCGGTAGTATGATACAGAGGAAATTTTATCTTCTATCGCCAGCAAAACTTGGACTAATTTCTTTAGTTTATTCCATTTGAACTATTAGACATATATTCAGACGAACTTTGATCAGTAATAATTTCAAAATGCACAGATTTTATTAGAAAAGATTCTTCTGGTGCGAATATAAATTCTTATTTAAAATGAAATGATGACCGTAAGTTTCATATTTCAGTAATTCTATCCACGTCGAGGATTCATAGGTTCAGAGAAAAGATTTTATTGATTTTTCTTTTTTATTTTAAAGCTGGATTGAAGTGGGAGAGAGAGAGAGAGAGATAGAGGAAAGAGAAATGAATGAAAGAGAAAACTGGCGAAGAGAAAGGCAATGCCATTACTAATTAACAATTTTCAGATCAAAATAAAAATCAAATAGCAATAGTATATAAAGTAATATAGGAACTCGAAAAGTATCGAAAAAGTTGATAAGAAATCTCTTATATTGCGTAATTTAAATTTGGCATAAATGAATAGGGAATGATTACCTTGCTCGTAAGTGACCATGTCTCCCTTCACATCACACTTGTGCCTAACACCACCTCGTCTAAACATTCGACCGATATGTATCACTGATTTATCATCTGCTACACATGCTGGAAGATAATAATTACTATGATAGAGATCTGGAAAGTTCTAAGACGTAGATCCCGCACTTTTTGTCACTCGAGATATTTGATCATAAATTGTCGTTAAATAAATTCATAATTTTAAGGCTTATTTAGGCATAAAATTTAAATTTACCAATAACTTCAGCAGTACCATTGTTGCATTTGTAATGGAAATGTTCCTTGGTGAATGTTTGACCGTGTTCATATGTACCCATTCCAGCAACCAGGCATGGAAATGGTGGCTGAGGCCCCGAAATTACTACAAATGACAAATCGTTCAATTCATTTCAATATTCGAAATTCTTTAATTAAAATAATATTAATTAATTAATTAATTACCTGCTGGAATGATTACTCTTTCGGCATTATCGGGACTGAAGCCATGAGGGACAAGAATGAATGATGCGCCATCTTCTTGGAGTGTTACTGCCGCTAAGAGAGTGAATTTAAGTGTACTTATCAATGATAATATGTAAGTCATTCCACTGTGCAACATAACTGTTTATTGAGAGAACTGCAAAATTTAGGTCAGAAAATTAATCAAAAATTGATCGTAATGAATTGCACATTTTCAATTACTTCATCATAAACTGTATTTTTCATAAAAATCGATGAGTTTGTATTCACCGGAATGAGTTATTTAATAAATTTATCGTTTTTCAAATTTTTGCTATTAGTGATCACTGAACTATGTTAATTAATATTTCTTCTATTTCAATAATTCACTTCCGCCATTTACAGTCTCTTTTGAACTCAAACGATCTGTGATTTCAGCATTGATTTGAACTGCCCGTTTCAGTTAACTTACAAATCATCTAATACATTATAATCTTCCCTTCTTTAACATTATGCAAATTACTAGCCAATGTTCTATTATGATATTTGTCAGAGTAAGATTTTATGGAAGTGAAGAGGTAATGGAAGGATAGAAAATGAATAGAAGTAAATTTCGTAAATCGGACATAATGGAAGATATAAATGATATGATTAAATAGGGAAAAATGGATTGAGACAATTTGCAAATAACAAAATAACTGCTTTCCACTGAAAGAATATAAATTTAAAAAAAAAATAGAATTAAAAACGATTAAACAAACTTGATGATGCCATGAAGATAAAATGTTAAGAGAGGGAGAAAGAGAGAAAATTCACCCAAATACCAAACCGATGAGAGGAAAAACGGTCAAGTCTGACCTTGCATGTCATCGACGACCAATTCTTCCATTTTTATCAAAAATGAACCGTAATATTATGAAAAAAAATGAAGGCATGAAAAGGCATTTTTCATACTGAAAAAAAGACGAAAAAAAGGAAAAGAAATGAAAATGAAAAAAAAAGAAATGAAATTTATCGTATGGTAAAATGAATACAAGAAAATGGGACTTACGTTTTTTTCCCCTCCCCCCCTTTTCTCTCTTCCGCTCCCCTTCTCTTCCTCCCTCTCTTTCTCTCTTTCTATTTTTTTGTATTTGTTTGAAAAAATTGAGGGAATTTGTCCTTATTTTTATCCTCATCTTATTAATTTCCTTAACAACAACAACAACAACAGCAATGTATTCTTTTCATTTCCGTATTTTTTGATTACCATTTGAATAATAACTAACATTAACATTTAACACTGAAAAATTGAATGATTGAAATTGAAATGTAACATTGAACGATTTTCGATATTTTCATTATATGCCGTAACATTAGCGCTTTAATTATAAATTCTCTCACTCTTCGCTTATTTATTATCCCTCTCATTGTTATTTGTGCAAAAAGATTAACTCATTGCTGTTAAAGCTATCAATAATTTGATCTCGACTTTCCACAGTGACCACATTTCAATGTGGTCATCTTTCATCTTTCCGGAAGCCGGAATGTACTCACCGGCGGATAATCCATCCATTCATTTTATACTTCATGGGATCTGTATTGCATTTCGAGCAGTGGTTTAGCACGTAACAGAGTTAATCGATTTCGATTGTGTTTCGTGATCTCTGTACGTGAACGTACTGCTGTAACTGCAAGGTAAGAGTCGTCTAGAAATTGCTTTCCATTTCCCGCATATCAGGAAAGACAGTGATGTAAGTAATGATTTTCGAGACATCTTTGCTTTGCAGTATATGTGGTGGCTGTTAACGAATGCTGTAAAGCATTGCAGAAATCGCGGTTTTTTACATCCATCTTCAATATTATTCTTCCACAGTTGTGCTTCGAGAAGAAACAATCCCACTAGCATTTTCTCGTATGCTTATTTCTTTCATTTTTGCATGTTATTCTTAAAGAATTTCCATTGAACGACTGTGCAAAGGAATTATTGTTTTAATGACCGGTTTATTCGATAATATTTTGGTATTCGCTTATGTTCTTTCAATTCATTCAATATTGTTTTTGATCATTATTTTAAATGATTAGCTTATTCGTGGAGAACTATAGGAAAAATCGTTGCAGAGTGATGAAGAAACCACTTAGGCGAGATATCTCTTTCATTGCGAAATATCCGGAAAGTGCTATTATTATGTGGATCGGGAACGTTTCAAAAACTGCTCGTAAAAAGATCTCATTTACAGATGGAGTGGAGTGAGTAATTTTCATACATTCAGCATTCTTGGAATTTTCTGTTTCTAATGCTTTTTAACGTACGGATTTTATCAAGTTTCAGGGAACAGTCTTTGTACATTAATTTCTTATACTGCATCCCAAATTCTAAAACTTTGATCGAAGTTAATCTCGTTCGTCCCTTAGATGAATTATTTTTACAAACTTGTGACAAGATAAAGGAAAAAATCAACAAAGTTATTCATAAACAGACAAACGAAGTGGTTGGTGATGAAAGTGAGACATCTGAATTTGTATTTTCTGCACCAAATCATCCTAATTTGGTTAGTTGATTATTGAGTTATGTTTGTATAGCTTCCATATTTCTCTTTGCGAAACACTTCGTTGATCGATGTTTTTGTTGTTTTAAATATCAAAAAGTCTCCCATCATCCTGGATTACTCATCGTGTTAAGAAATATTAACAATTTATACACCATCACTTTTCACCAAATGACTAACGTCACTATCTCACCTATTCAATTTGAAATTATTTGGACATATTGGCACTACTGTTCATCCTATTGTGATGGTTTATTAATTTCATTTAGTCATAGTTTCAGCTTCTCTTCACAAATGAAGAAATATATAAAAATGAAAATTTACTTAATATATATATCAATAAAGACGTGTACCGTTTATTACGGGATCCTCCTCGATGTACAAAACTAGTTCTAAAACTGAAACCACTAGTCGGATGTCCTCTCATGGCCAGTTTCTCATTAGCGAATAGTAAGCTTAAATTTTATGGCTTTTTCACGTCAACTTTTTTTATTATTTAATCATGATTATTAATATTTCGAATTTCTTAAAATGATAAAAACGCTTTCTAGACTCACAAAAAATAGAGCTGTTATTTCACTGGTATGTTGGAGAACCAGATACATCACTAATTTCACCAGTTATGAATAATACTTCAGGGGGTAAACTTTTTAGTTTAGGCCGAATTGTTTTTTTTAAATAATGCAACATAAAAAAATATCTTAAAATTTATTCCATATATTTTCTATTTATTGATGCATAGAGTTGTATTTATGTTTTTGCTAAAATATGAACTGACACTTGTTTACATAGTTTGCATTGTAAACAGTGACGTTTCTGGCTTTTGTTTTAAACGAATAATAAGTTCATCAATGGAATAATTGTTAATTATCATTATTTTCATTTTATTTTCAGAAAAACCAAAGTATTCAATGGATGGTTGGGTCTATCGTTCTACAGGCAATTATTTTTGTCCTACTGTTGAAGATATTGGAAAACGTATTTGCGTATTACTCGATATGGGAGCAGATGCAATCGTATATTGTACTGACAGTGATGATGAAGTTTCGGAAATCGGTGAAGCATTGATTTTCGAAGAAAGACAAGCTACTTTTTGTCAAAACCCCGCAAATAGTGGGTAAAAATTTTATTTTAGCTGATCCATTATATTTCCATAATTTTTTTCACATAGTCTCGTTGCAAATTGTTATCAGTAAAATGCTTTTTCTCCTTCTCTTGAGGTATTATTAGTCATATTTTGTCATTACTTATTATTCAGTTTTAGAAGAGTTGAATCGTAAGCACATTGTCTGTCACTCTACTGTGCAAATAAACTTTATCAGTAAAGAATTCAATACTTAATAATTTAATGCTTTTATTAAGATTTTTATTTATGCTTCTCTAGACCTTTTCAGAAATACACGGGTGATTTCATATAATATTCTTGCTAATTTATACTTGGATTTAAAGCTCAAACAAGAAGATCTGTATTTTCCATACTGCGCAAAGGAGTATCAAGGCTACGATTATCGTTATCCCATCTTACTTCGGGAAATTCCTGGTATGAATTTAAGCTTTAATGAAAATTAGTAAAATACTAATTCCTGAAATAAAGGATTGCGCCATTCTTTCATTTTTACAGGTTACCAAGCAGATATCATATTTTTGCAAGAAGTAGATGAACGATTGTGGTTACGCTTTTTACCCGAGGTGATGAGCATCTATGGATATGATTGCCATTTTAAGAGGAAAGGAATGAAAGTAAATGAAGGATTAGTCATCTGCTTTCGTAGAAAACAGTTCAGGTACACAAAATGAATGCATATTTTGTTGACAAACAATTCTTGCAATGAAGTGGCATATAAATGAAAATTTGATTTTAAAGTTCGTTATTTCTGTGTCCAGTATTCTCTAAAAGTTTTCAATCGTTCTTCATGTGTTTCTTCGCTTTTAAGATTTTTAGGTGTCTTGAAAGCTATGATATGTGGTTGCCGGATCTTTTGAATACTGAAATATACCCTGAGAATGTTGATATAATTGAGCTACTTAAAAACAATAATGAATTAAACGCGATGTTTATATCAAAACCTGCAGTTATACAGGTAACTATCAATTAGAATACGATGTATTCATAGTGAGCGATTGCTTATATGATTTAGCTTTGTTTATGACCATTTTAGAGCCTAGTTTGATGCAAAAGTAAAAAAAAATCTTTAATATAATTTTTGCTAACTGATTTCTGAAGCGAGATATAAAATTTCAAGATATATTATTTTCGATGGTGATGATTCATTAAAACGAAATTTAGAAATATTAACATAGATTGCTTTGCATGTTTTCTAATAAGAAATAAAAGAAAAAGGAAGTCGACTTATCTGAACTTTACTAAAATCTGTATATTAGATTTTTTCTAAAAGATAATTTTCAGGTGCTAGTACTGGATAGCAGTAATATGTTCGCTCAAGAAAGTGGTATTTTATTACTTGCAAATACTCATTTGTATTTTGATCCTCGCTTTGACATCATTAAAATACTGCAAGCATTACTTTGTGCTCGATGGATTGTGCGTGTTGCAACAGACTATGCAAAACGCAACCCTGATGCGAAGTTGCATATTCTGTTTGCTGGCGATTTTAATAGCACACCAGATGGAGCTGTTTATCAATTGCTCAGTACAGGTTAGGATTTTTTGCTGAGGGATGCGTAATTATAAATTCGAAACGAGCGCGACGAATGAAACATGAATAACAAAACAATGCTGAAGTGAATATTTATACAAATGTTTTGATAAGTGGTTTAGTGCAAGAAATCTTTGTATAGTTTATGTGTGCAGCTGTTTTACTGAATTTGTTATAAAACAGTTTAATAGGAAATAATAATATAAAGGTACTATTCCTACTAAAACACTTTTTTATAATTTTAAAATTAGTCTGCAAAACAGTGTTCTCTAACTGTATGGTGATTTCCTCCTTATCTTTAGTAATTATGCTGTTTTATCGGATTTTCAGGAAATATATCGGTTAAAAGTGAGCACTGCGCATGTAGCCATATATATGGTGATGTAAATTTTACCATTCAACCATCTTTTCCATCGTTCAGCTTGCAGCTGACAAGTTTGGGGGATGAAACACAGTTCACAAATTATACTCGTCATTACCGTTATGATGGGGAAATTGCTGGTTTCGAAGGATGTTTAGACTACATTTGGGGAAGTGCTAATGTGAAAGTTAGTAACTTTGTTTAGTCATTCATAAGTTTCATAACACTATAAAATATTTATGCTTGAAAATCCTGGTTTCAAAATTTTAGCTGATTTATGAGACGGGATTGGTTAATCAAAAGTGAAGTTAAACCTTCAAGTGCAAAAGAAAGAGAATTCCAATATTTTATACATATTAAATGATTTGTTGAAAAGTTAATTTCTCTGACACTTGCTAGAATGACCTTAATGTCCTAGAATGACCTTAATGTCAGACATTGTTTTTTTTTCAGGTACAGAAAGTTATTCCAGTGCCACCAAAAGAACTTGCTAAGAAATATGTTGCATTACCATCTAAGATATCTCCTAGTGATCATTTACCATTAGTATGTGATATACAGCTTCAGTGATGGTCACATTGCATAAGTTTGTAGTTTGCACTCTTGTTGTTATATAAAATTTTGTAAAATAAGAGTTCTTAAAATACCTTTCATTGATATATGCAATAATTTAACTGCTTCATCCTCTGATAACCTGATAACCCAGAAATTAGAAATGTTATGGACCGGCAAAAATATTTACTTTCAGGAGAAAATTGGGAAAATTTTTTTCGGTTTATCTTTTTTTGTTATCGCGTGCATTAGAATTTTTATTTGCGTTAGCGGTGCAATTCTTGAAACATTTCAAGGAAGTGCTTTGCAAAAATTTACCGGAATGATTGCATAATTTTTTGCTGTAATACTTCTTTGATCACATAATTTTTCTTGCAGAATTCAACGCATTCTTCATAGCGATATCAGTATGTCATTATCGTGATAAATTTGAGATCCGAATTGTAATTAAGAAATGAAAGATTTCTTTGATTTCATTCCATTAATTAGTCTACGAATTTTCAACTTAAAATAAACGTGTAATGTATACAGGCTAAGATCAAAGATTGTATGTTAACATACTATGTTATAAATATATGTCCTCTTTATATTTCAATTTACAATATATTTAACCCGTAATTTATTAATAAGTACAGGAATAGCACCAACAATGAAAAGTAGCTAATAAAGATCAGTAACACATTCAACACTTAGCACTTCACTTTGTCATATTTTTTGTCTTAGCTTTTGCAATTCAGTAACTTGTTTGTTACTTGAATATGAATGAGATTTGTTAATTATCATCGAACTAACTGTACTAAAAAATAAAATGAAAACTTTAAATCATATCACTGTTCATTAAATGGTAGTATGTATGAATGATGAGGACGATCACAATTCTCGTAATTTATCATTCCTTCACACGTGCCCGGTATCCATACTTTGCTACATCTTCCCTGTACTGTACCATATTCCGTCCTAATTATACTATCATAATCATCTCGTCTCTTACTGCATGATAATTCAACAAATTTTATTGGTAGACGATCTGGAATTTTCAAATTCAGTGCAAAAATTTGATAACTAAAATTATAATAAAATATAACTATATTATTTAGTATGATCACATTTTTTAAGGTATAGAAAATTTTAGATTTCATATTTCTAATAATATTACATGGTAAACTTTTGTTTAGCTATATTTTTATCATAATTTTTTTAACTTGAATAAGAGAGTTAAAAAATTTCATTAAATACATTCAAATCGATATTGGAGATGATTGATGAAATGAGACATTCAGATTATGAAATTAGACGTTTGATTTTTTTTTTAAATTAAACGGAACCTGGAATTTGAACTTAATTCCCAAAAAAAAAATCCTACTTTATTTGACAATTATAAGAACTAAGCTAAAAGATATTTGAAATCCATGTACCATCCGAATTTGGTATAATTAGCGATGATCGATGATCAGTTTCTGATTTAACTGCGATTGCATTTGATGTATTTTCTGGGCTTGGCGATTTACCGTTCACTAATTGGCTTAGCTGTTTGATGTACCGAATAGCTTCTCGTAATGTTGTCGCTTTGCTCATTTTCCGATCATTTGATAGCCATGGCAAAAGATGGCGCAATTTGTCAAAAGCTTCATTGATGCTACCAATTAATTTGATTTAAATTTGTTTAATTAAAAAAAGTAATTTTCATTCATTTAAATCAACTAAAATAATCGCTGAGAATTATAACAATGTTTTTTCGTCTTTAAATGACACATAAAAATCTCAGAATACTACAAAAGTTTATAATCAGAGAAATTTAATCATGCTATCTCACCTGTACATTCGTTTTCGCTCTCGTTCATTAGCCGCCTTACGTTTCAATTCGTAAAATAAAACATTTCGCTCTCTTCGTTTTCTTGATCGAGTTTGCTTCACACTTCTTGAAAAATATTGTTGCGACATGAGCGTGAAATTGAACTTTTCAGATATATTAACTGATCACTTCACTAGAAGGAAATCGAAAGTGAATAAACGATGAGTAAAATTTTTAAATTAAAAATTTTCAATACTTATCAAAGTTTGGAGGAAAGTTTTGACTCGTCTAAATTCCGTTTTCTGAAATATAATTCAAAAAAATAACACAGAAAAAATAATATGTAAAATAATTGATAATACGGAAGATTTAGCAATTAAAAATTGGCTGAAATTTCATAAAAGTCAAAAATACTTATTCAAAAAAATTTTAGCTACAGTAATAAAATGAATGATTATGACATATTTGAATAATTATTGCTTCTTTTCTGGCGAAAAATGGTTCAAATGCAGTGTATTCAAAATATCCGGGAAATAGATTATAGAGGGATCAAAATTATTATTCCTCAGAACATATCAGTAAAATTAGTTAAAATTGTGGGAATAAAATAGTTTTAGAGTTGGTGAAAAAATTATGAACGGCCTTGCGGCAATTTGAATTGTGCAGGTGTTTTTCAATGAATAACATTGTCAAATATAACGATTACTTTCGAAATATCGTTTTGTGAAGTATCAGAAAAAGTTTTTCGATGAAAAAAGACGATGGATAGTTATAAAAAGGTTATGAATTTCATAGAAATTCTTATTATTAATCGAATTTGAGAAGAAAATTTCCAAAAATTTACTTACAAATACACGAACACACATACATATATAAATACAGAAGGAAATACATTATATTGTAGATTATTAATCGATCAATTTAGGATTAGAATTACTTACTTAAGTGATTACTTATGCTGAAAGATTAGTACGACCATATGGTACAAAGATAAGGTTACCATATTAGTTGAAAATTATGACAATTAGTTCTTCTCTTGTTTGCCTGTTCTAAAAGTAATAAACTTATAAAATTAAGTGCTAATATTGAAAGATATAATTTACTTAATCATTTCAACTAATCACTTTATTACTTATCGATTTATTAACTTATTATTCCACTGCTTAGCTTTTTATGCAGTTAAATACCTATTCTCTAATAATTGACATATTTGCAGAAGAAAAAATGAATCCAATGAAATAACCTAATGGATACTATAATTTGTTTGCTTGGCCATGTGATTCTATTACTACTCTTCCCAGTGTTTACATTGTAAGCAGAGGAGGAGGAAGGATGATGGATTATGGTATTTGAAGGATGGGTTACATCAGGTTCGTAGATGACCTTGTAGTACTTCACACTTTCTCCGCTTCATTATTCTTTTGAATATATGGAATTTTAGATTAAATGCATTATAATAATTATTAATTAATTAATAACAATAATAAATAAAAATAATAATTAATAGTAATAATAATATAATGATAAATAAACAGACTATTAGACATGAATCCTTCAGAGTGATTTTAGAATTTTTTATGGAAAATTAAAAATATGAATGTTAAACGTTTTTGTTAATATAAAATAATATTGCATTTCAAGATTTATGAATAATTCAAAATTAAGATAATCAATTAGCGGTTTTAAGCACTTTGATGCTTTAAAGAATAACTTTATTATTTTATCAGTAGCAGTCAAGAGATTTTAATTGCTGCGGAAAAATAAAAGTAAAGCAAAGTAAAATGAAAGTCACGCAACATTTCATTGAATAATAATTAGGACATAATTCAGCAAATATTTTAGAAAAATTATACTATCTATCGATAACTTATAAGGTCTTAATATTTCGCTCTCTTAATTCAATTTTCACTTTCAATTCATTTATTGAAAATTATAGCTCTTCGGATGATATGAAAATCTTTCCTATCATTTGCTAACAAACTGCAGCTGTATAAAATTAAATGGCTGATGAAATTAATGTGATATTCTTAAAGTGTGCATCAAATTTGATTCCAAAATATTTGATATAACAAAAATTTTAATAATTTAGAAAAAAAAATCTCTCATATGTAGAAAGTGAGAGGAAAGTAATTTTGTTCGCACATAAAATAGATGATGCAATGAGTTCGAGCAATAATAAAACAATGAATTTTAATTAAGATGTTGACATGAATGGTTGCACTTATCCAAAACGCATCATATCAAACTCTTCGAAATGAATTGCATCAGTTGAAGTGGATTCATTCAACCACCATTCTTTATAATTTTACTAACGTATTTCAAGAGTCCTTCTTCCAATTGTAAGCAGCAATTAAGCATTTAGGTTGCAATGATAATAATAATGGTAGAACATCTTTTCCATTCAGAAAAAGCTCTGCTGCTACAGTTTCATGAGGAAAATTTGTTACAGTGCAAGGAACTAAATTATAATGTGAGATGTTTCTATCAATTTCTTCTTCCTCTTAAATGAACTGTTGAGTTATCAACGACAAAAAAAAATCGTCGAAACATGAAATTTTTGTTGTACACAAAAAATATTACTGTCATTACAATATTGCTATGAGTGAAGCAGATGAAAAATGAGAGCATAAGAATTATTTCATTTCAGATTTTAATAACCAGCAAAGCAATCAATGGAAATCCTCACATAAGCACACGACACAATATGCACATTATATAATGCTTAATCCGGAAGGGATTAAACATGTGCTACAACTAAACAGCAGTTGACATAATCTATTAACAGATCCTAATTGAGTACATCAATGCAATTCGCTCTTATCTCTCATTTTGCACCTTGAAATGGTCTTTCTTCCTATTTTATCGTTAATTCTTTAATCTGTGATCTACAATCGAGCAGAGAAAAACAAATGATGGGTAGCTCCCAACAGTTTTGATAAGATTTGCAGATAAATTATGTCTTATGCATATGCTTTTCAACTTCATCCACATTTTTTCAAATTTTTTTCAAACTTGAAGTTTTTATAAAGAGGATTTTTGCAGAAATTTTTAGATCCAGTAGTTTTTATCCTTCACTTTTAGTTTGCTCAATTCTGCTACTGTTTGCACTTGAAAAGGTATGCATCCTGCGAAAGCAAATTCACCAATTTAATGAAAACAAATTTCCGGACTACAAAAGTATTTATTATGCACATATATTTAACAGTGTACAAGTATTAAATTATGTCACTTCTTATAATTTGACTTGACAAATCTCAACAGCAATGCATACACTCTTTTCCAGAAGCATGATTTACCAATGAATAAATCTTATCATTTAAAGCCCTTTGCAAACAATTCTAATTATAAAATTTTAGTTTTGCTTTTCCTTCTTCGATTGTTCATTCATAAACTCTTCTTTCTCGTGCTTTGTCATGCTTGACTTGCATTTTTCATACAAATTAATAAGGTCAAATGCAAGGATGCAGTTCTCCTGGAAAAATAAATTTCAGTTTCAGTTAAAATAAAGTCGAGATAATAGCAATTTTTCAAAATACGAAAATTCTTCAACTAAAGATAAACTTATTGGAAAGAAATGTGTCTAAAAATTCATCCTACTTTAGTGAAAACGAAAGGCAGAGCACGTCGGTTATGTACTGCCGGTCTTCGCTGTATTTCTTTACCTTCTTTGAACAACGAAATCTGCAAAAAGAAATAAAACAGTTTTTTTCCAAAACAAAAATATATGTATCTTCGCATCTTCTTTGAAATCAAGAGCCCAAAGCAAATTAAACATACCGTCGGTAACTGTCTACTGATAGGATGTATATTGATACGGAACCGGTTCGCTTCCTGTGACCATTTTCCTACGTCTAATTTAGCAAATCTTAGATTTGGCAAATGAAACCTTAAAAAAATCACAATAACTCTATGCTCAAAAAGTCATATGCTATCCTCTTTAACTAACTGCAAGAATTCAAATGAATCTTCAGAAATGAGGAAAAAAATTATTTACCTCTCACTTAGCTGGGCAAAAACGTGAGAAACGTGCTTGCATTCTGGTGACCAGGAGGTGTAAAAATAAATTAGCCAAGTCATTTTTGTATTTCGTTGAATTTCCTCCTAAAAAATTGTGCATATCATAAAAAATTGATAATATATAAAAACGAGATTGTTTAAACTTACATATAATTCCGTGTTGTTATAAATAACTATTCTGTCTGATTCAGCATAAATTGGTTCTGGATAGAAAGCGGAATGTACTGCAAAAACAATAATAAGGGAAAAATAAAGTTTTTATTACATTTTATAAAACTGATAGAAAATTACATAAACAATGATTAATTGAGAATAAATAGAGTAACGTGGGAGATCTGAATAATTTGACAATCATTCTTCCAGGAACTAATTTTTTCTATTATCATCTTTGATCGACCGAAAATCGTGCTGGGGTGAGTACTAAATATTCTCGAGATTTACAAAGTTCATTCAAATAAACATTCAAATAAGCTTATTTTTATCTATCAAAGGTAGAAAGACGGAAAAAAATCGGGAAAAGTAATTCTTTTATTAAATTTTTGTCAAAGTTAGCGATGAACGGTTCTTTTGTAACTGATATCAGACACTACAACATTAAATATCTGCTTGTATCAAAATTAAAAAGTTCGAAAAATAAGCTTACTTAAACAAACACAAATGTAGACAATACCAGCAATAAGGTCGGCTCGCAAAAATAAGAAAATATTGGCTAATTTGGAGAATAAGAATATATTTGCTAAACAGTGCATCCAGTTTGCTGCCTTCCTATTCTTGTAGCATATCATAACAGCAAGGAATATCATAATCTCATGCTCCCTCTATAATCATGTTCTATAATATTTTACTATGGACAACAGAAATGTCTGCTATTAGAGTGATAGATTTAATGGCAAACTGATATTACGATAAATCATAATCGCTAATCCTTCACCATATATCTATCTTAAACATGTAAATGTTTTTGAATTGTTAATAATATTCATTTCAATAAGTATAGTTCAAAAACTTCGTGTTTCAATCATTTAGTTGAAAACAGCTGATAGACGTGATAACACGGCACTACATTGAAACACGCTATGATAAGAAGTCAATTAGTAAAAGTGATGGAATGCTCACTTTAAAAAATTGAAAAAGCGAAAGTTTCCCAAAGACTTACTCGATCAAGACCGCATTCGTCTTTCATACCAAAAATAAACGTACATAAACCATTCGTAATCTTTAAAAAAAAGAAAGCAACAGACAATATAATGCCGCCAATATAATAACCCGTCGCTAATTTCTTTACTTCTGTTAACGCCTTACCAAACTGCATATCAAACTATTGCAGGCTAAAATTTGTAAAGTGAAAGTTGAAAAGTGACAAAAATTAGGAAGCAATTACAATAGGTTAATAACATGTGACATGATATGGAACAGTCGTTATCAGAACAATTCATGTCACTCTTTATCTGATTACCTCCAAGTGAAAACGCATGAACATCGCCCATAGGTACGCTTCACTGATATGCACGTAAGGTGATTAGTAATAGCGAAGTGATACATTTCAAGAACTTACTGGATCAATATTTCACTGCTCAAGAAAATGCTTCAAAATTATCGCACTGCATAAAGCTCATTTCGTTATCTAAACAGCAAAAGCATTTAAAATAAACCAAAAACGAAAGAGAATTCTATTGCAATTACTGTCGAGCAGAATCGACCCGTTAAAATTATTTCAACTCCCCGCCGGATAATAGCAAATAAACCGCCGTACCGCCATCTCAAATTTCCGCCCTCCATGGTTCATATACTACTGGTCGTGTGGTACCGATATGAAAATTTCTCATTTCTCAGTGGGAAACTCCTACTAATTTTAAACATTATTCCGTATTTCTCGGATAAGTTTGAAGTGAATATGAGAGATTGGAGTTAAGATTGCGTGGAG